TCACCTCTCCGGTCAGGTCTGTGTGATGATGTCATGTGACCTCTCCAGAATCCCCCTCACCTCTTCGGTCAGGTCTGTGTGATGTCATGTGACCTCCCAGAATCCCCCTCACCTCTCCGGTCAGGTCTGTGTGATGTCATGTGACCTCCCAGAATCCCCCTCACCTCTCCGGTCAGGTCTGTGTGATGTCATGTGACCTCCCAGAATCCCCCTCCTCTCCTCTCCGGTCCAGGTCTGTGTGATGTCATGTGACCTCCCAGAATCCCCTCACCTCTCCGGTCAGGTCTGTGTGATGTGTGATGTCATGTGACCTCCAGAATCCCCCTCACCTCTCCGGTCAGGTCTGTGTGATGTCATGTGACCTCCCAGAATCCCCCTCACCTCTCCGGTCAGGTCTGTGTGATGTCATGTGACCTCCCAGAATCCTCCTCACCTCTCCGGTCAGGTCTGTGTGATGTCATGTGACCTCCCAGAATCCCCCTCACCTCTCCGGTCAGGTCTGTGTGATGTCATGTGACCTCCCAGAATCCCCCTCACCTCTCCGGTCAGGTCTGTGTGATGTCATGTGACCTCCCAGAATCCCCTCACCTCTCCGGTCAGGTCTGTGTGATGTCATGTGACCTCCCAGAATCCCCCTCACCTCTCCGGTCAGGTCTGTGTGATGTCATGTGACCTCCCAGAATCCCCCTCACCTCTCCCGGTCAGGTCTGTGTGATGTCATGTGACCTCCCAGAATCCCCCCTCACCTCTCCGGTCAGTCTGTGTGATGTCATGTGACCTCCCAGAATCCCCTCACCTCTCCGGTCAGGTCTGTGTGATGTCATGTGACCTCCCAGAATCCCCTCACCTCTCCGGTCAGGTCTGTGTGATGTCATGTGACCTCCCAGAATCCCCCTCACCTCTCCGGTCAGGTCTGTGTGATGTCATGTGACCTCCCAGAATCCCCCTCACCTCTCCGGTCAGGTCTGTGTGATGTCATGTGACCTCCCAGAATCCCCCTCACCTCTCCGGTCAGGTCTGTGTGATGTCATGTGACCTCCCAGAATCCCCCTCACCTCTCCGGTCAGGTCTGTGTGATGTCATGTGACCTCCCAGAATCCCCCTCACCTCTCCGGTCAGGTCTGTGTGATGTGCATGTGACCTCCCAGAATCCCCCTCACCCTCTCCGGTCAGGTCTGTGTGATGTCATGTGACCTCCCAGAATCCCCCTCACCTCTCCGGTCAGGTCTGTGTGATGTCATGTGACCTCCCAGAATCCCCCTCACCTCTCCGGTCAGGTCTGTGTGATGTCATGTGACCTCCCAGAATCCCCCTCACCTCTCTCGGTCAGGTCTGTGTGATGTCATGTGACCTCCCAGAATCCCCCTCACCTCTCCGGTCAGGTCTGTGTGATGTCATGTGACCTCCCAGAATCCCCCTCACCTCTCCGGTCAGGTCTGTGTGATGTCATGTGACCTTCCAGAATCCCCCTCACCTCTCCGGTCAGGTCTGTGTGATGTCATGTGACCTCCCAGAATCCCCCTCACCTCTCCGGTCAGGTCTGTGTGATGTCATGTGACCTCCCAGAATCCCCCTCACCTCTCCGGTCAGGTCTGTGTGATGTCATGTGACCTCCCAGAATCCCCCTCACCTCTCCGGTCAGGTCTGTGTGATGTCATGTGACCTCCCAGAATCCCCTCACCTCTCCGGTCAGGTCTGTGTGATGTCATGTGACCTCCAGAATCCCCCTCACCTCTCCGGTCAGGTCTGTTAATGTCATGTGACCTCCCAGAATCCCCCTCACTCTCCGGTCAGGTCTGTGTGATGTCATGTGACCTCCAGAATCCCCCTCACCTCTCCGGTCAGGTCTGTGTGATGTCATGTGACCTCCCAGAATCCCCTCACCTCTCCGGTCAGGTCTGTGTGATGTCATGTGACCTTCCAGAATCCCCCTCACCTCTCCCGTCAGGTCTGTGTGATGTCATGTGACCTTCCCAGAATCCCCCTCACCTCTCCGGTCAGGTCTGTGTGATGTCATGTGACCTCCCAGAATCCCCCTCACCTCTCCGGTCAGGTCTGTGTGATGTCATGTGACCTCCCAGAATCCCTCCTCACCTCTCGGTCAGGTCTGTGTGATGTCATGTGACCTCCAAGAATCCCCCTCACCTCTCCGGTCAGGTCTGTGTGATGTCATGTGACCTCCCAGAATCCCCCTCACCTCTCCGGTCAGGTCTGTGTGATGTCATGTGACCTCCCAGAATCCCCCTCACCTCTCCGGTCAGGTCTGTGTGATGTCATGTGACCTCCCAGAATCCCCCTCACCTCTCCGGTCAGGTCTGTGTGATGTCATGTGACCTCCCAGAATCCCCCTCACCTCTCCGGTCAGGTCTGTGTGATGTCATGTGACCTCCCAGAACCCTCCTCACCTCTCCGGTCAGGTCTGTGTGATGCATGTGACCTTCCAGAATCCCCCTCACCTCTCCGGTCAGGTCTGTGTGATGTCATGTGTGACCTCCCAGAATCCCCCTCACCTCTCCGGTCAGGTCTGTGTGATGTCATGTGACCTCCCAGAACCCTCCTCACCCTCTCCGGTCAGGTCTGTGTGATGCCATGTGACCTCCAAGAATCCCCCTCACCTCTCCGGTCAGGTCTGTGTGATGTCATGTGACCTCCCAGAATCCCCCTCACCTCTCCGGTCAGGTCTGTGTGATGTCATGTGACCTTCCAGAATCCCCCTCACCTCTCCGGTCAGGTCTGTGTGATGTCATGTGACCTCCCAGAATCCCCCTCACCCTCTCCGGTCAGGTCTGTGTGATGTCATGTGACCTCCCAGAATCCCCCTCACCTCTCCGGTCAGGTCTGTGTGATGTCATGTGACCTCCAGAATCCCCCTCACCTCTCCGGTCAGGTCTGTGTATGTCATGTGACCTCCCAGAATCCTCCTCACCTCTCCGGTCAGGTCTGTGTGATGTCATGTGACCTCCCAGAATCCCCTCACCTCTCCGGTCAGGTCTGTGTGATGTCATGTGACCTCCCAGAATCCCCTCACCTCTCCGGTCAGGTCTGTGTGATGTCATGTGACCTCCCCAGAATCCCCCTCACCTCTCCGGTCAGGTCTGTGTGATGTCATGTGACCTCCCAGAACCCTCCTCACCTCTCCGGTCAGGTCTGTGTGATGTCATGTGACCTCCAGAATCCCTCCTCACCTCTCCGGTCAGGTCTGTGTGATGTCCATGTGACCTCCAAGAATCCCCCTCACCTCTCCGGTCAGGTCTGTGTGATGTCATGTGACCTCCCAGAATCCCCTCACCTCTCCGGTCAGGTCTGTGTGATGTGTCATGTGACCTCCCAGAATCCCCCCTCACCTCTCCGGTCAGGTCTGTGTGATGTCATGTGACCTTCCAGAATCCCCCTCACCTCTCCGGTCAGGTCTGTGTGATGTTATGTGACCTCCCAGAATCCCCCTCACCTCTCCGGTCAGGTCTGTGTGATGTCATGTGACCTCCCAGAATCCCTCCTCACCTCTCCGGTCAGGTCTGTGTGATGTCATGTGACCTCCAGAATCCCCCTCACCTCTCCGGTCAGGTCTGTGTGATGTCATGTGACCTCCCAGAATCCCCTCACCTCTCCGGTCAGGTCTGTGTGATGTCATGTGACCTCCCAGAATCCCCTCACCTCTCCCGGTCAGGTCTGTGTGATGTCATGTGACCTCCCAGAATCCCCCTCACCTCTCCGGTCAGGTCTGTGTGATGTCATGTGACCTCCCAGAATCCCCTCACCTCTCTCCGGTCAGGTCTGTGTGATGTCATGTGACCTCCCAGAATCCCCCTCACCTCTCCGGTCAGGTCTGTGTCTTGATGTCATGTGACCTCCCAAATCCCCCTCACCTCTCCGGTCAGGTCTGTGTGATGTCATGTGACCTCCCAGAATCCCCCTCACCTCTCCGTCAGGTCTGTGTGATGTCATGTGACCTCCCAGAATCCCCTCACCTCTCCGGTCAGGTCTGTGTGATGTCATGTGACCTCCCAGAATCCCTCACCTCTCCGGTCAGGTCTGTGTGATGTCATGTGACCTCCCAGAATCCCCCTCACCTCTCCGGTCAGGTCTGTGTGATGTCATGTGACCTCCAGAATCCCCCTCACCTCTCCGGTCAGGTCTCTGTGTGATGTCATGTGACCTCCCAGAATCCCCTCACCTCTCCGGTCAGGTCTGTGTGATGTCATGTGACCTCCCAGAATCCCCCCTCACCTCTCCGGTCAGGTCTGTGTGATGTCATGTGACCTCCCAGAATCCCCCTCACCTCTCCGGTCAGGTCTGTGTGATGTCATGTGACCTCCAGAATCCCCCTCACCTCTCCGGTCAGGTCTGTGTGATGTCATGTGACCTCCCAGAATCCCCTCACCTCTCCGGTCAGGTCTGTGTGATGTCATGTGACCTCCCAGAATCCCCCTCACCTCTCCGGGTCAGGTCTGTGTGATGTCATGTGACCTCCAGAATCCCCCTCACCTCTCCGGTCAGGTCTGTGTGATGTCATGTGACCTCCCAGAATCCCCCTCACCTCTCCGGTCAGGTCTGTGTGATGTCATGTGACCTCCCAGAATCCCCCTCACCTCTCCGGTCAGGTCTGTGTGATGTCATGTGACCTCCAGAATCCCCTCACTCTCTCCGGTCAGGTCTGTGTGATGTCATGTGACCTCCCAGAATCCCCCTCACCTCTCCGGTCAGGTCTGTGTGATGTCATGTGACCTCCCAGAATCCCCTCACCTCTCCGGTCAGGTCTGTGTGATGTCATGTGACCTCCCAGAATCCCCCTCACCTCTCCGGTCAGGTCTGTGTGATGTCATGTGACTCCCAGAATCCCCTCACCTCTCCGGTCAGGTCTGTGTGATGTCATGTGACCTCCAGAATCCCCCTCACCTCTCCGGTCAGGTCTGTGTGATGTCATGTGATCTCCCAGAATCCCCCTCACCTCTCCGGTCAGGTCTGTGTGATGTCATGTGACCTCCCAGAATCCCCCTCACCTCTCCGGTCAGGTCTGTGTTTTAATAATAGAGATAAGAGTGATGTCATGTGACCTCCCAGAATCCTCCTCACCTCTCCAATCAGCAGGTAGATGATCTCCAGGGTGAGATTTAGTATCCTCTCAGTCATGTGACTCCGGTCCTTCTCCATCCTCATTGGTCATGTGATCTATGCCGGTCTCTCTGTAGACGGATAGCAGAGAATTATCTGGACGGTATTGGTTGTACAATATCAGACGGGGATGTGAGGGGCTAACAAGCTCTTTGCTCTCATTTTCTGTCCCCTCTCCATATTATTGGGGGGGTCTATTGTTTCCGCTCAATGAGGTGATCCTCACCTGTACAGCTCCGGCCTCCATTGCTCTCTCGTAGTGTGTGGGCGGCTCCTTCGCAATCACTGGAGCAGCTATCGATTTCTTTGGGCTGTTCTAGATTTCACGGGTTTCCGTTTCGTTGCTTCCCCCTACCTTCTGGAGGCTTCCAGAACACAGAGGGGCCGGGAGAGTCAAATGGGCAGCTTGAATATTTATGGCCAAGCCCTGGGGAGGTGTGCCTAGTAGGTGGCTGGGGGGGGGGGGGGGAGCATAAATAGGCTGAGGTTTGGAGCAGCCAGGTATTTGTCCTGCTGGAGAAGTTCCCAGCCTCGGGGGCTGCTGCCCCTCTGATGAAGTCCTGCTTGAACCTACTGATGTTCACTGAGGTCCCAGCTATAGCAGAGCTGGGGGGGGGGGGAGCATAAATAGGTTGGGGTTTGGAGCAGCCAGGTATTTGTCCTGCTGGAGAAGTTCCCAGCCTCGGGGGGCTGCTGCCCCTCTGATGAAGTCCTGCTTGAACCTACTGATGTTTATTGAGGTCCCATTTATAGCAGAGCTGGGGGGGGGGGGGGGGGGGGGGGGGGGGGAGAGCATAAATAGGTTGGGGTTTGGAGCAGCCAGGTATTTGTCCTGCTGGAGAAGTTCTCAGTCTCAGGGGCCCCTCTGATGAAGTCCTGCTGGAACCTACTGATGTTTATTGAGGTCCCAGCTATAGCAGAGCTGGGGGGGGGGGGGGAGCATAAATAGGTTGGGGTTTGGAGCAGCCAAGTATTTGTCCTGCTGGAGAAGTTCTCAGTCTCAGGGGCCCCTCTGATGAAGTCCTGCTGGAACCTACTGATGTTTATTGAGGTCCCAGCTATAGCAGAGCTGGGGGGGGGGGGGGAGCATAAATAGGTTGGGGTTTGGAGCAGCCAGGTATTTGTCCTGCTGGAGAAGTTCTCAGTCTCCGGGGCCCCTCTGATGAAGTCCTGCTGGAACCTACTGATGTTCACTGAGGTCCCAGCTATAGCAGGGACCTCAATTACTATTAGAGCGAAGGATCCAGTCCGGAGAAATCAGTGAAGGGTTCCCGGTGGAAGTTGTGTAGCCACCATTGGACATTGTGAGTACTGACCCAAGCTCAGAATTCTAGTGGCTGGGCACCGTTCTACATTGGGGGTGCTCTCTCTGAGACGGTACCCACAGAGTCTCGGTTCTGGCCTTCCTATTGGCTTCTGGATTAGAGACCGTTGAAAGAGATTTTGCCAAGTGAAGGGCGTTCTCCTGTTTACAAGTCAGCCCCACCCCCCAAACTCCTCCCCTCTTGAAAGCAATAAGCCCCGGTTGCTGTTCATTTTTTTTTTTTTTTTTTTTTTAATTTTTAGGGCTCATTCAGATGGCAGATTGATGTTAATCTCGGTTTCCACATTATATGTGTCATCGTACCTCACAGTGACTATGGAGGAAGAGGAGGAGCATGAAGAGGAGGAGCATGAAGAGGAGGAGCACGAAGAGGAGGGGCATGAAGAGGAGGGGCACGAAGAGGACGAGCATGAAGAGGAGGAGCACGAAGAGGAGGAGCACGAAGAGGAGGAGCATGAAGAGGAGGAGCATGAAGAGGAGGGGCATGAAGAGGAGGGGCACGAAGAGGACGAGCATGAAGAGGAGGAGCATGAAGAGGAGGAGCACGAAGAGGACGAGCATGAAGAGGAGGAGCATGAAGAGGAGGAGCACGAAGAGGACACTCCGTCCCATTGTGTTCCCTGTATAAAAGACACCTGTCCACAGGAGCCATCAAACCATCAGATTCCAAACTCTCCACCATGGCAAAGACCAAAGAGCTGTCCAAGGATGTCAGGGACAAGATGGTAGACCTACACAAGGCTGGACTGGGCTACCAAACTATGGCCAAGCAGCTTGGTGAGAAGGTGACAACAGTTGGTGCAATCATTCACAAATGGAAGAAACACAAAACAAGTGTCAGTCTCCCTAGGTCTGGTGCACCATGCAAGATCTCACCTCGTGGAGTGTCAATGATCATGAGAACAGTGAGGAATCATCCCAGAACTACACGTGAGGATCTTGTCAATGATCTCCAGGCAGCTGGGACCACAGTCACCAAGAAAACAATTGGTAACACACTACGCCGACAAGGACTGAAATCCTGCAGTGCCCCCGCACGGTCCCTCTGCTCAAGAAAGCCCATGTCCAGGCCCGTCTGAAGTCTGCCACTGAACATCTGAATGATGCCGAGGAGGACTGGTGGGAAGTGTTGTGGTCAGAGGAGACCAAAATCCAGCTCTTTGGCATCAACTCAACTCGCCGTGTTTGGAGGAGGAGGAATGCTGCCTATGACCCCAAGAACACCATCCCAACTGTGAAACATGGTGGTGGAAACATTCTGCTTTGGGGGGGGGGTTTCTGCTAAGGGGACAGGACAACTGCACCGCATCAAAGGGACGATGGACGGGGCAATGTACCCTCAAATCTTGGGTGAGAACCTTCTTCCCTCAGCCAGGGCATTGAAAATGGGTGGTGGATGGGTGTTCCAGCATGACAATGACCCAAAACACACGGCCAAGGCAACAAAGGAGCGGCTCAAGAAGAAGCACATTAAGGTCCTGGAGTGGCCTAGCCAGTCTCCACACCTTCATCCGATGGAAAATCTGTGGAGGAGCTGAAAGATCGAGTTGCCAAACGTCAGCCACCAAACCTTAATGACTTGGAGAGGATCTGCCAAGAGGAGTGGGCCAAAATCCCTCCTGGGATGTGTGCGAACCTGGGGGCCAACTCCAGGAAACGTCTGACCTCTGTGATTGCCAACAAGGGATTGGCCACCAAGTACTAAGTCATGTTTTGTGAAGGGGATCAAATCCTTCTTTCCCTCATGAACATGCAGATCCGTCATCATTTGTTAGACGCATTTCTGCTGAATTTGTTGTTGTATTCTGTCTCTCAGTGTTACACCGAACATTCCATTGTTAGACCGATCGTTTCTGTGTGAGGGGCGAACATTCCATTGTTAGACCGATCATTTCTGTGTGAGGGGGAACATTCCATTGTTAGACCGATCATTTCTGTGTGAGGGGCGAACATTCCATTGTTAGACCGATCATTTCTGTGTGTGAGGGGGAACATTCCATTGTTAGACCGATCATTTCTGTGTGAGGGGTGAACATTTCATTGTTAGACCGATCGTTTCTGTGTGAGGGGCGAACATTCCATTGTTAGACCGATCGTTTCTGTTGAGGGGCGAACATTCCATTGTTAGACCGAGGTGTGAGGGAACATTCCATTGTTAGAACCGATCATTTCTGTGTGAGGGGCGAACATTCCATTGTTAGACCGATCATTTCTGTGTGAGGGGGGAACATTCCATTGTTAGACCGATCATTTCTGTGTGAGGGGGGGGGACATTCCATTGTTAGACCGATCATTTCTGTGTGAGGGGCGAACATTCCATTGTTAGACCGATCATTTCTGTGTGAGGGGGGGAACATTCCATTGTTAGACCGATCATTTCTGTGTGAGGGGTGAACATTCCATTGTTAGACCGATCATTTCTGTGTGAGGGGCGAACATTCCATTGTTAGACCGATCATTTCTGTGTGAGGGGCGAACATTCCATTGTTAGACCGATCATTTCTGTGTGAGGGAGCGAACATTCCATTGTTAGACCGATCATTTCTCTGTGTGTGAGGGGCGAACATTCACCATCAGGGGGTGGCAAATACACATTTCCTGCACTGTATATATATATATATCTGTATTAATGATAATATATAAACATGGGATCTTCTCACCTCCTCCTCAGCTGCCACTTCCAGCAATGTCTTCTCTAGACTTCTTCCCTCATAGAACTTCCTGTCTGTAAGTATCTTATCACTTCCGGTCTGTTTTCCCTCTTCCCGCATGGACTCGCCGTGTTATAATCGCCACCTTGTGCACCTCAGAGGAACTGCAGCCCCGAGAATTGTCTCCGGTGACTGTAGAACAATGGCGGATACACGCAATACCACGCAGTACACACAATACACGCAGTACACACAATACACGCAGTACCTACACAATACACACAATACACGCAGTAAATACCCACAATGTAACACGGACAGTACACACAATACACCAGTACACACAGTACAAGCACAATACAACACAGTAATACACGGTACAACAATACACACAGTACACACAATACACGCAATACACACAGTACACCACAATACACACATACACAACACGCAGTACACACAATACACACGCAGTACACACCCCCCAATACACGACGCACGAAATACCCCACACAATACACGGCAGTACACACAACACACAAGTACACCCAACACACGTACACACAATACACACAGTACACACAATAACACACAATTACACACAGTACACACGCAATACACGCAAAGTACAAACGCAATACAAATACACACAATACACGCAGTACACACAATACACGCACAATACAATAGAATAAACACAATACACGCAGTACACACACAATACAATACACAGTACACAATACACGCCAGTACACACAATACACGCAGTACACACAATACACGCATACAGTACACAAACACTACACACGCCACACAATACACCACATACGCAGTACACACAATACACGCAGTACACACACAATACAAACAGTACACACAGTACACAATACACACAATACACACGCAATACACAGCAGTACACACATACACGCAAGTACAACACACACAATCACATTGCACGCAGTACAACAATACACCAATACACACAATACACGCAGTACACACAATACACAAATACACGCAGTACACACAACACACTGTACACGCAGTACACACAATACACGCAGTACACACAATACACACAGTACACACAATACACACAAATACACGCAGTACACACAATACACGCAGTACACACAATACACGCAGTACCACACACAATACCCAGTACACACAATACACACAAACACACAGTACACACAAAAAAAAAACACACAATACAACGCAGTACACACAATACACGCAGTAAGTACACAGTGACCAAATACACGCAATACACACAATACACAGCAATACACGCAATACACACAGTACAAAACGCAATACACGCAGTACACAAATACACGCAGTACACACATACACACAATACACGCACGCAATACACGCAGTACACACAATAACGCAGTACACGCAGTACACACAGTACACGCAGTACACACAGTACAATACAAAGTACACGCAGTACACACAAACCACACAATACATACGCAGTACACACACACAATACACGCAATACAACGCAGTACACACAATACACGCAAGTACACACAATACACGCAGTACACACAATACACACAGTAAACACAATACACGCAGTACACGCAAAAAAAACCCACACAAATACACGCAATACACGGTTACAATACACACGCAGCAGTACACACAATACACGCAGAGTACACACAATACACGCAATTACACGCACGCAAATACACGCAGTACACGCAATACACGCAGTACACACAGTACACGCAGTACACACAAATCTGCCACAATACACGTACACGCAGTACACGCCCCACTTTTTTTTTTGTTAGTAAAAACGGTGTGTTTTTACAAATCAATATCTATTTTTTTAAAAAAAAAATGATATAAACCGCAATTTTTTTTAATAAAATATGAAGGAGGAAGTTCCGGCGAATAAATAGATACCCAACATGTCACGCTTTACAACGGCGTCCAATGACGGCACTTCTCCGTGGGCGACGCTTTAAAAACATCTTCAGGTTGTCGCGCTGTGATGTCACAGAGGAGGTCTGGCGCTGGAACGATCGATCTCCGACCATTGCGGCGATACCTCACGTAGCTGGTCTGAACGCCGTTTTACATATGTGGGCGTGGCCTACATACGCGGTCACCCCCCCAAATGGGGGGGCGGGGCACTTTAAACTTTTATTTATTAATATTTAAACTATCCCTTTAAAAAAAAAAATCCCTTTTTCACAAGCATGCGTCCAGTGTGATAGAAATAATCAGTGACAGGTCCTCTTTACAGAGAGATCGGGGGTCCAATAAGTCCCTCCCACAGCCCCTCCCCCCTACACCCCACCCCCCATCCCTCCTCTACAATATAAAGCATTAGTTTAAAAAAAAATGTCCTTTATGTGACGCGATGAAGTCGCTCCGGTCCTCAAGGGCATTCAGAGATGAGTGGCGGCCATCTTTCCTTCGCTGATCTCTATGCCCAGCGCCAGGATTGTTCGATGGTTGCTCGGGTAAGGCTGAGAACCCACCAATCGGCAGGGATGGCGGCGAGGGGGCGGGGTTATTTTCTGCACCTGTATCGGTGCTTATTTCCGTATCGGCCGACGGCAGAGGGGGTGCGTTGAGACGTTTCGGCCACCGAAATTTCACTGCGTCTCTACAATTGCGGCGGGTCATGCACCGCTCTACGCAGACTACATTCCCAGCATTTGCTGACACAATTAGAGCGTTCTTTGGGGGGAATTTCATCAAAAACTTGCTAAATTAACAAAAAAAGACCAAAATTTTAGAAAAAAAATCCATCTTTTTGTTTCATTCTTTATTACATTTTACAAATAAATAATTCAGTTTAAACCAAAATGTATTCGGCTCCATTTCTTGGGTACAAATCCCCCCCAAATGTCAGGACGGTACAAATCCCCCCCAAATGTCGGACGGTACAAATCCCCCCCAAATGTCGGGACGGTACAAATCCCCCCAAATGTCGGGACGGTACAAATCCCCCCAAATGTCGGACGGTACAAATCCCCCCAAATGTCAGGACGGTACAAATCCCCCCCCAAATGTCGGACGGTACAAATCCCCCCCAAATGTCGGGACGGTACAAATCCCCCCCAAATGTCGGGACGGTACAAATCCCCCCAAATGTCGGGACGGTACAAATCCCCCCCAAATGTCGGGACGGTACAAATCCCCCCAAATGTCGGGACGGTACAAATCCCCCCAAATGTCGGACGGTACGGTACAAATCCCCCCCCCCCAAATGTCAGGACGGTACAAATCCCCCCAAATGTCGGGGACGGTACAAATCCCCCCCAAATGTCGGGGACGGTACAAATCCCCCCAAATGTCGGGACGGTACAAATCCCCCCAAATGTCGGGACGGTACAAATCCCCCCAAATGTCGGGACGGTACAAATCCCCCCAAATGTCGGGACGGTACAAATCCCCCCCAAATGTCGGGACGGTACAAATCCCCCCAAATGTCGGGACGGTACAAATCCCCCCAAATGTCGGGACGGTACAAATCCCCCCAAATGTCGGGACGGTACAAATCCCCCCAAATGTCGGGACGGTACAAATCCCCCCCAAATGTCGGGACGGTACAAATCCCCCCCAAATGTCGGGACGGTACAAATCCCCCCAAATGTCGGGACGGTACAAATCCCCCCCAAATGTCGGGACGGTACAAATCCCCCCCAAATGTCGGGACGGTACAAATCCCCCCCCCCCAAATGTCGGGACGGTACAAATCCCCCCCAAATGTCGGGACGGTACAAATCCCCCCAATGTCGGGACGGTACAAATGTCCCCCCCCCAAATGTCGGGACGGGTACAAATCCCCCCAAATGTCCCCCCAAATGACGGTACAAATCCCCCCAAAATGTCAGGACGGTACAAATCCCCCCAAAATGTCGGGACGGTACAAATCCCCCCAAATGTCGGGACGGTACAAATCCCCCCAAATGTCGGGACGGTACAAATCCCCCAAATGTCGGGACGGTACAAATCCCCCCAAATGTCGGGACGGTACAAATCCCCCCCAAATGTCGGGACGGTACAAATCCCCCCCAATGTCGGGACGGTACAAATCCCCCCCAAATGTCGGGACGGTACAAATCCCCCCCAAATGTCGGGACGGTACAAATCCCCCCAAATGTCGGGACGGTACAAATCCCCCCCAAATGTCGGGTCGGACGGTACAAATCCCCCCCCAAATGTCGGGACGGTACAAATCCCCCCCAAATGTCGGGACGGTACAAATCCCCCCCAAATGTCGGGACGGTACAAATCCCCCCCAAATGTCGGGACGGTACAAATCCCCCCAAATGTCGGGACGGTACAAATCCCCCCCAAATGTCGGGACGGTACAAATCCCCCCCAAATGTCGGGACGGTACAAATCCCCCCAAAATGTCGGGACGGT